TTAAAATTTTTCTGTTTTTAGTAGAGATGGGGGTCCCACTTTGTTTAGGCTAATCTTGAAACTCCTGACCTCAAGGAATCTGTCTTAGTCTCCCAGAGTTTCAGGATTATAGGTGTAAGCCACCATGCCCCGCCATACTATAACATTTTTACTTTATAAACTTTAAAATTTTTTTAACTTTTGACTTTTTTGTAATGACACCTGGCTTAAAACACACATTATACAGCTATACACAAATATTTTCTTTCTTTATTTCCATATCTATAGAGTTCTTTCTTTAAAATTATTTAACTTTTAACTTTTGTAAAAAACAAAAAATCAAATACACACATTGTCCTAGGCCTACACTGGGACAGGATGATCACTATCACTGCCTCCTACCCCCACATTTTGTCTCACCGGAAGGTCTTCAGAGAAAATAACATACATGGAACTGTCATTTCCTATGATACTAATGTCATCTTCTGGAATATCTCCTAAAGGACCTGCCTGCCTATGGCTGGTTTTTTTTTTTTCTTTGTTGGGTTTTGGTTTTTGAAACAAGGTCTCCATCACCCAGGCTAAAGTGGAGTGACACGATCATACTCTTTGCAGCCTCAAACTCCTAAGTTTAAACTCCCAGCCTCCTAAGTATCTGGGACAACAGGCATATGCAACCATATCTGGCTAATTTTACTTATTTCTTTTAGAGGCAAGGTGTCACTAGGCAGCCCAGACTAGTCTCAAATTCTTGGCCTCAAGCAATCCTCCTGCTTCAGCCTCCTAAAAAGCTGCAATTACTGAGCTGGAGGTGAACCACCATGCCAAGCTACAAGGCTATTTTACAGTTATTTTTAAATAAGTAGGAGTACATTCTAAAATAATGATGAAAGTACAGTATAGTACATGATAACTAAAAAAAAAGTACGATATAGTAAAAAACTATGCAAGAGAAATTTTTCAGCTCCATTATAAATTTATAGGACTGTTGTCATAGATCTGTCAACGACCAAAACATCATTACACAGCACCTAACTATGTATGTATATATGCAAATTTTAAGGGTTTTTTTTTTTTCTTTTTTGCAGTTTTTGGCCAGGGCTGGGTTTGAACCCATCACCTCTGACATATGAGGCTAGCACCCTACTCCTTTGAGCCACAGGTGGCGCCCAAATTTTAAGGTGATTTTAACATATAACTACACAGAAGAGCTCTATAGTCTTAGAACTCTTTATTTCACAAAATAAAATAAGTAAGAGTTATTTTCTTACATCTCTATTCTACTAACACAAATGGCTTCCTAGAGTACCAAGATACTGTTAAGGAAACAAGTAATTAAAAAAATGTAAGTTATCTTTCTTCTTTTCGCTCTTTTTTGTGACAGAGTCTCACTTTGTCACCCTCACTAGAGTGCCTTAGCATCACAGCTCACAGCAACCTCAAACTCTTAGACTCAAGTGATCCTCCTGCCTCAAGCCTCCTGAGTAGCTGGGCACTACAGGTGCCCACCACAATGCCCAGCTATTTTCAGAGATGGGGTTTCTCTCTTATCCAGACTGGTCTTGAACTCCTGAGCTCAGGCAATCTACCCACCTTGGCCTCCCAGAGTCATAGGATCACAGGTGTGAAATAACTCTACCTAACATAAATCTAAGTAAATCTCAAAATAATATGCTTACATTAAGATAAAGATCCCTTCATAAGTTTAACCTCAGCGTATAAACTTAAGCTTTCTCAGCTTCATTTAACTCAATGGTTAATATTCTGCCCTCTATCACTTTACGTAGTTTTTGTTAAGTCAATAAAAATTAAGTAGTAATTAATAATCAATAATTCCATACTGTAATACAGATTTAAAGAATTTATAGCCTTTTATCCCTTTCTTTCACATTCAGTATCAAAACTAAACTGAAATATTCCAATTTTTTCACATTTTAAAAATATTTTATCATCAATTTTGAGAAAATATGAAAATGCCTAAAAAAAAGCATAATACACTGGGCAACAAACACATTCTATTCCAAAACTGTTTTCTCTAATTTTCAAAATAAAAATCTTACTTTACATTAGAGAAGATCAACACTTAAAACAGCAGTTCTCAACCTGGGGGTCGTGACCCACAGGACCTGCACTAAAGGGCCGTGGCATTAGGAAGGTTGAGAACGACTGACTTAAAAGAAGTCTGTAGTTTCCTTTGCAAAGTTTTTCTATTACTATAAAATTTTAAGTCATTCCCAAACAATTTTTACATAAGGTGAAATTTTGCCATATCTGCTTCCTTTAAAGAAAGATATATCTGTATAGGAACAATCAGATGTACACAAATAAAATGTAATAAGCAACAGAAACTAAAATAAATGATATGGTGATGAACATTACTGTAACCTTGCCTTCCCCGAAGAAATATAGTATATTGGAAGAAATACCAACCACTTGGATCAATCATGTAACTTTTCTAGTAAGAATTTTTTTTTGGCGGGGTGGGCTGGGACTGGGTTTGAACCCACCTCCTCTGGCATATGCGGCCAGTGCCTTACTCCTTTGAGCCACAGCCACCGCTTAATCATGTAACCTTTCTAAAAGACCTACTTTATCAGAGAAAGAAGGCTAATAGAAAGTTTATTTGTTCAGGGTTTTAAAAACTGTATATGAAGTTTACAATGTGCTAACATATAATGGTTATTACTAGTAAGAAGAAATAAGCTAATTTGCTTGTCCCATCAGTCGGACCACTGAAGAAGTGCTTTGTTGATCAGTTTACAGGTTTCACATAAAAAAAAAACAAATTCTGCATCAGAGAGAGTAGGTAAGTCCTCATACATGTAACACCAATCTTACAGTAAACGTAAGAGGGTTTATACACTTATAATAGCAATAGAACTACACCTTAAGGAACATTTTTTAATCTAGCAGGTCTTGCTATTAGGATTTTTTAAGGCTAGTTTAAACCTGTTTTCCCATTACAGAAAAAATAAGACTAGTACCAAAACAGTGATAGAAAGAGTGAATATAAACAGAAGTCAGGAATCTGTTATGAGAGAATGCTGGATAATTAGAAAAATTAGAAAACATGGAACACAGAAGGGAAAATTAAGCTGTGCAAACTTGACTGTATTAGTATGAACCTGGGTACCTTATTATAAAAGCAGTACTTCTGCCCCTAACCACTGTACCACCAGCATCTTACATCAGTATAAATGGTTTCATGTAGCATAAAATTTTTCTTTTCTTTTTTTTTTTTTTTTTTTTGAGACAGAGTCTCACTTTGTCACCCTTAGTAGAGTGCCATGACATCACAGCTAACAGCAACCTCAAACTCTTGGGCTCATGCAATCCTGTTGCCTCAGTCTCCCGAGTAGCTGGGACTACAGGTGCCTGCCACAACGCCCAGCTATTTTTAGAGACAGGATCTCGCTCTTGCTCAGGCTGGTCTCCAACCTGTGAGCTTGGCCTTGGCCTTCCAGGGTGCTGGGATTACAGGCATGAGCCACCATACCCAGCCCATGTAACATAAGATTTAAAGTGAGACTTCTGCCAAAGTATTTTTCAATAGATAATAGATTCTCTTAAGGATAAATTTAACAATTAGATTCTGTGCATACTGAGAAATAAAAACAACTCTTTCTATACCGAAACCTGGGTCTTACAGAAAAATAAGGTTGGAATGATAAAATACATAGCTATTATGTTAGACCTTTTGGTATAAGCTAATAAAACAATACCTTACAGAAGGAGAAAAACATTCAAGAATAAAGCCAAAAGTTCAAGTTATTTCTACTTCTGTACTTTATCATTCTTTCATTTTTCATAACGTTTATGAGAGTATAAAGACCGATCCCTACAATAGGAACTCACTGTAATAGTTTGTAATAGCAGAAATTAGTTTTTCAAAAAAGGAAGAAAAGTTAGCCAGATGTCAAAGATTCTTCTAACAGTAGATGACCCTCCAGAAAATGGGAGAGCCCCACTACAGCAAGGCTCTGTTATAACCAACCTCTATTTTCCAGCACCTAGCATGTGTATATCACAATAACTACTGATGGTCAAAAACAAGAACATCAGTTCTCCTCAATCATCAGTGATTAAACTACATTAACTGATGTTCATGACAACTATGTTTATAATATTTTGTGTAATAAAGTTAGTTCTTTGAAAACTGATCAACTTGGTTATTACATTTTCCTCTGTAATATGACATTAAGTTTAGAAAACAGTGAAAAAGCTCTTCTATTAAGTATGTGAAACAGGCAAGAATTATGTGGTTTCAGAAGACTGGTCAAACATTCTAAACAAGTACCTTAAATATTATTTCCAAATAAAACTAGGAACAAGAATGACTATGGAGGAAAACAAATGACAGGACTATAAAACAAGGAAACAATTTGTGAGAAAGAACATAAGAATATGGAAAAAGAAAACACAAGGATTCATACAGATTATGAATATCTACATTACTTAGGATTCTCTAAACTCAAACTGAGTATATGCTAAATTTTTTCTAGTAGGCAACTTCATTTTGCAAATGTTTCCAATTAATTTCAGCAGGATTCTTAATATTATGCAGACAAGAACAGTATACTTATGTTACCTTTTTTGATGTTACTTGGAAAAAATCAAATGTTCAATTTCTTTTTCTCCTGCTTTTCAAAGTACTAACTAAAGAAAGCTATAAAACTATTCTTTCAAGTAGTATGAAGAAAATTGGAGTAAAGCCAAATGGGCCTTGACCAACTGAATATATTTAATCCCCATTAGTGATAATCATGAGCTCATGCAAAAAAAAACTTCCATCATTAACATAACTGACCAGATTGTCTTCCAATAACCAAATAAAGTATCAAAGTTTTCAGCAAAAGTATATGAAACATTTTAAATGTTCTAGTGGCCAATGTCTCAGCCTGTACAGAAAATGTTATCACATACTTAGCCTTACTATTTTTATATTCACATTAATACTGCATAAATAGTTCTATATATACTTGACATAATATGTATTATAATAATTTATAAGAAACACTTACTGGGTACATTTTTTGGAGGGATGGAAGGATGGGTTCAGGTAGGGCTATAAAAAGAAAAAGTTTAAAGCTTCTGTGATTCACATGATTCAACTTACAATGCAATAGTTTGTCAACTACATCCCAGGTATGAGACTATAAGGGGTTATACTAAAATTCAACAGTTTTCATATATTTCATAAAATTAACGCTGATCCCTAAAAATTCAAATTTAAAATATATCTATGTTGACAATTTAAGATTTTGTTAACGTATACTAACATCATTTATATGGTTTTAGAATAATAGGCTATCAGCAAAAGGACACATGTCATCTGGTCCAACATCAGACATACACACAAAATAAGCAAGACAAAGATTGTTCTACAGATACTAAATGAACATCACTAAGATGGATGTAACTATCAAAAAAAATAATTGTAAAGTACAGTTCAATGATACTATGAAAGAACAGTTCTATCATAATTATTTATTATTTAATTTCCACAGTATCAAAACTTAAATTGCTCCATGCAATTGATATACTACTACAAAGGAAAACAAATTAAACTGAAAGAAAAAAACCTTCAACTTTATTAATACATTTTTTAAAAGAATGCCTCAGCAAATGTTAAAAATCGAAATCAAGAGGTTTACACCAATCTGCTATAAAATAAAATTTCACATAAAGGAATCATTACCCTTGTGTTACCACCATATTTTTTGTCACCATTCAATAGTTTCAAATATACCTAATCTAATTAAATGTGTTAGCAATAATTTTACATCATTATAATGTAAATGGAATAATATAAAAAAGCAAAGTGCCTAATAGTCACAAGGTAGGTAATAAACATAAAATATGATGTCCTGGGCATGGTAAAATGGAAGCAATACATTTTCAAGATTTTTCTTATATTAGATACTAAATGTATTACCACTTTGTATTTAAGAATTAGAAATATATATAACTAAACTCAATAACTATATATATATATCTAAACTCAAGAATATGTAATTCACTTTTGTTATTTGGCAAAATCTTTAAGTGACTTCTGGAATACATTAATGTACATGTAATCAAACATTATGACCAACTTAAATGGCCTCCACCAATAATTACAAGGGTATACATTTATACCACCTAGTACAAAGTAGGATTCTTTCATTTAAATTTCCTGTCTGTATTATGCTTCATCCCCAATTTTATTTTATTCCACTTGAATAAAATAAAATTCTGTGATAGTCTGCACATTCTCAGTATATGACTGAGAATATTATGAGAAAAAAAATTGGTCATTACTTACCAGAATCACTCTTAGGAAACAGGACATATTTCCACCCCTTACCCCCAGGCATTCAAATGCTCAAAATTCCAGAAGACCCTCCAAGTAAACTCAAGCCCCAGACACTTTAATTCTAAATATCTCTACATTTGTATAACACTTTTTAATGGCTTTCAAATCATTTTGGCTTTAATACAGAAGTCAAACACTTGTAGTTCAGTGAGTAGGGCTCTGGCCCCATATACCAAGGGTGGTGGGTTCGAACCCAGCCCTGGCCAAACTGCAACAAAAAAAATAGCCAGGCGTTGTGGCGGCTACTCAGGAGGCTGAGGCAAGAGAATTACCTAAACCCAAGAGCCAGAGGTTGCTGTGAGCTGTGATGCCACAGTGTCTACTGAGTGCGACAAAGTAAAACTCTGTCTCAAAAAAAGAAAAAGAAAAAAAGAAACTCTTATTAGAAATTAGTTTCCTTAAAATCTTGAATTTCCTTCCCATTGAATACCCCAGTAAATTAAAATTATTAAAAAAAAAAAAAAGGATAAAGGAAGATTATTATAAAGTATTAGAATAAAGAAATTTATCTCATTCCAAAATCATAACTAGAATGCCAGGAGAGAAAAACAAATACAAATTAGTGGCTAAAGATTTATCAATGGACAAAAGAACATTCAGAACTAAGCAGTTTGGAAGCTTGGAAGCAAAAATTTTATTGAGTAAATTCTTTGTCTTACAACCTTAAAATTTCTCTTTTCTTTTTTTGAGACAGAATTTCACTTTGTCGCCTTTGGTAGAGTGCCGTGGCATCACAGCTCATAGTAACTTTTAACTCTTGGGCTCAAGCGATCCTCTTGCCTCAGCCTCCCAAGTAGCTGGGACTACAGGTGCCTGCCAAAACCCACAGTTATTTTTATAGACGAGGTCTAGCTATGGTTCAGGCTGGTCTCGAACCCATGAACTCAGGGTAATCTACCCGCCTTGGCCTCCCACAGTGCTGGGACTACAGACATGAGCCACAACGCCCAGCCAACCTTAAAATTTCACTCATCATTACAGATACAATTAGTGTACTATGGCAGTTATTGTTAACATTATCCTGATATTAGTCTTAAAAAGTTCAGTAATTTAAATGTTTATCTTTTATCAAAGCAACATAAATTCTGGAAGAATCTGGGTGGGTAAATCACCTATTCCAACTCCAAAATTTTGGACCACAGATTCGTTCTTTAAGTTTCTCTCTCAAAAGCAAACTAAAAAAAAAAAAAGAAAGAAAGAAGTAAAACTCCTTATTCCAGTAATGCCTTGAGTGCTGCTTATCTATACCATTTTAGTTTGTCAAAGTTCAGATGAGGAGCTTGCTGATCAGGCCTCACAAATTTATACCCATAAACTTTCTAAACTGATTTAATCAAAACTTCAACTATTAAAAAAGCAGATTTTCAACAGTACTAAACCACTAATTTTGAAATGCAAGGACAATTTTACAAGGCCTACCAGACAGCAGTTCTATGCCTAGGAAAATGGTAAACACTTTACAAATCTTCATTAACATTACTATTCCTAACCAATGGATAATTTTACCTTTATAATTAACTCTTAGAAGGTCATTAAAATCTCTTCTCAACAGGTTCTTCCCTTCATGCTTTGATTAGTCATCTTTTCAAGTATATATAGTCTATTATTGACACTAAAATGGAAATGCTTAATCTCTGTTCACAGCAAAAAAGATATTAAAGCATTTCCTAAGTTAAATAAAAACTTCAAGGTCATTTAATCCAACTATTTATGTTACAGGTGAGAACAGTAAGATCAGAGAGGTACAATAATATGAGCCAAATCACAAAAACTAGTTCCAAGGGCCCAGCTGGAACTGCTTCCTATACCTTGCAGGTTCTCATATGCCCTTTCCCTTCATGGTTATGTGACACTGCCAAAAACAGCAACTACCTATTTTAATCACTCTAATTTCATCTAGGAGAAGTGGCTTAAGTATGCCAGTGTAGGCACACTTTAGCTCTAGGTAGCTAATGTCCTTCAAGAAAGACAGACCTAAGTACAGCTGATTACTGGCTGACTATAGTGTCATTCATTACAAACCACCTCTGTACATGGGACCACATTATCAAGTACATGTTTAACAAAATCTAAACCAAATTTTAACACGATTTCATTAAACTGAAAAAATACTAATGCTTACATTGCTCATATGCTTGTAAAACCACGCAGTGGCACTTGTGATTAAAGTACATTTTTCTAAAGAAGTCAATCTAAGTTTTAATGTAACCAGTAAGACTGAAGCAATAGGGCACATACTGTGGATGTTTATATATGTTAAATGCTTTAGTCAAATCCGATTTTTAAATCACTACTACACTAAAATATGAATAGACACTGATTGAATGGTGGTACCTGGCTATTGTATTATTCTTTGTATTTAGTAAGAAATTCTTATCTATTCAATTTTTAATAAAAGCCTATTGCAATCCATAAGAGGACAAAGTTCACTAAAAAGAAAGCAAATGTAATGCAGGTCTCAGTGAACCGTAATGCTGGGCAAAAAGGGATATATCACTACATATAAAGTAGTATCCAGAACAACCAACCATGTGTTTCAAATCCTTTTGGAGGGACAAATAGATTACCAAACCAGTGTATATGAAGACTGATCAGCAATGTGAAGATTAGCTTGAAACATTTCAGCAATAAAGAGAAAAACAATATTAAAACTCTGAGACTAATAAAACATTGGCCCATTTAAATTATTTTAAGTCTCTCTTGATAAGTCAAAAACTTCATTTGATTCTATCATTTAAAAGTAAATATAGGCTGGGCACCCATAGCTCAGTGGCTAGAGCACCGACCACATGCACCGGGGCTGGGTTCAAACCCAGCACAGACCTGCTAAACAAACAACAACAACAAAAATAAATAGCCAGGCGTTGTGATAGGTGCCTATAGTCCCAGCCACTATGGAGGCTGAGGCAAGAGAATCACTTGACCCCAAGAGTTTGAGGTTGCTATGATCTATGACACCGTGGCAGTCTACCACAGGTGACAAAGTGAGACTCTGTCTCAAAAAATAAATAAATAATAAAGTAAACATAATTCTTATTTAATATATATTATAAAACATCTATAAATGAAGTATAAAGAAAATAATCCAACTGTCCACAAATAATCCCTGATAAAATTTTGGCATATATCTTTTCAGTATTTGTATACCTATAAATATATAAAAAGGTATACATAGTTACCTTTTTAAAATAAAACTGGTATCAAAGTCTATAACACTTAGTATATCATGAGGATTTTCTTATATCATTTAATACCTTAAAACAATTGTTAGTGGCTATGTAGATTTCATATTAGGATATATCATAATTAATGTAACCACTCCTCTATTCTAGAAAACGTCAGATTACTTCTAATTATTCTTTATTTCAACAAACATCACAAAAAATAGCCTTATATAAATGCATATACATATCACTGACTATTACCTTAGGACAAACTAGAAATGAAATCACTGAGTCAAATGACATGAATATAAATATTAAAACACTGCTTTCTAGGAAGGCTGTACCAAACTGAGACTCTCACCAGAAGTACATGAGTGTGAACACCACTTTGTCTTTTTTTTTTTTTTTTGACATTTATTTTTAACATTTATTTTTCACTATGTTGCTCTGGGTAGAGTGTCATGATGTCACAGCTCACAGCAACCTCAAACTCTTGGACTTAAGCAATTCTCTTGCCTCAGCCTCCAAGTAGCTGGGACTATAGGCGCCTGCCACAATGCCTGGCTATTTTTTAGTTGTAGTTGTTATTGTTGTTTGGCAGGCCCGGGAGGGATTCCAACCTGGCAGCTCTGGCGTATATGGCTGGAGCCCTTAGCCACTGAGCTATAGACACCAAGCCCCATTTTGTCATTTTAAAAAAACCGTTATTTTAGGGTGGTGCCCATAGCCCAGTGAGTAGGGCACCAGCCACATACACCAAGGCTGGCGGCTTCGAACCCAGTCTGGGCCAGCTAAACAACAATGACAACTGCAACAAAAAAATAGCCGGAAGTTGTGGTAGGAGCCTGTAGTCCCAGCTACGAGGTTGCTGTAAGCTGTGACACCACAATACTCTACCCAATGCGACATAGTGAGACTCTGTCTTAAAAAATAATAATAATAACCTGCTATTTTAAGGATATTAACTCCACATCTGAAATACGTGTTGTAAATATTTTACAACTAATTTTTTTTTATTGTTTCAGGTTAATTTGAGGGTACAAAGAATTAGGTTACCAGGTTTGCATTTTTTAGGTAGAGTCCCTCTTATAATTGTGTCCTGTCCCCAAGGTGTGCCATACCCCCTAACTACAACTAAATTTTTGATTAAAAAAAAAAAAAAAAGGAACCAGTTTAAGAATGTATTCTCTATCAAGAATGCAGAATACCAAATTTACCTTAAGAGGATACTGTAATGTTTTGATAGCCAAGGAGAAAAATGGCTGACATTCCATGAAAAATTAAGAAGATTAACATAAATACTCTGGTCAAATAATGGCACCTGATCTCTCAACAAAGGTAGAATGAAAATGTGCCTGAAGATAGAATCAAGATTTTCTTAGGAACTAGCTCTAAGTCTACTCCAATTGAGATAAATACAAAAAAACGCTCACAGAATCCTCCATTATAGAGCCAACATTCCTGAACCATGATAAACTGAAAAAATAAAAGTGTTGTGTATGTGTGTGTGTCTCAGAGATTGAGGGGGTAATAATTGTACTGTTTGGGGATGGTGCTGAGATTCTATCTTACTTTTTTGGTATTAATATGCACCATCTTTTATAAAGTCATGATAGCAATCAGTAGCACTTCTTTGGTTCTGATACTTATCAAAATAAAAACTCCAGTTCTTTTTTTTTGACATTTATTTTTTGAAATCTAAAAGTCATGTCATAATGTACAAGTAAAGAAAATGTAAAAATACTACTTACTTAAGATGGTTATTTTTTCTTTGTTTGTTTGTTTTTGTTTGGGTTTTTTTTGCAGTTTTTGGCCGAGGCCCGGTCTGAAACTACCACCTCCAGTATATGGGGCTGGCACCCTACTCCTTTGAGCCACATGTGCCGCCCAAGAAAGTTATGTTTTTACAAAGGAAAAAAACCAAATACACCAATTATAGTTATTTGTCCAAAAACTTCAGAATTAAGAGAACTGAATTTGGCATTTAATGTGTGGCTAGATATACATTTTGAAACCCCTGCAAAGATAACAAAAGCTGGAAAAAAAAGATAACATTAACAATCTTGGATATGGAAACACATGGGAAATTTATTATTTTTTCTTCTTTCCACTTTTATTTTCAGGATTTTCTATATAATTATTTTAGTATCACTACATTTTAGCTATTATTTTAAATATATTTCTGAAACAAAATGAAGAATTCCTGACAACGTACCTCACCTCTGAATTGGTTGCACAATCTTTTCTTGTGACCCTATTTCTATACTTGTCTTAGTAAAAGATTCTACAAAAGAATTCTAAATTTCACCAACATCCCTCCAATTCCTATCCAAACAAGCATAGTCTCCCAAGAATTAGATGTTAAACAAAACTGTAATCCCCAACCTTAAAGATCTCTGATCTACATGCCAAGAAAAATGTGCTTTTTCCTTCTACCAGTTCCCAAATATCCTTAGTACAGAAACACTGCTATAAAGGCATCAAACCATTACAACTTTCTTAGTTCTGATTTTTCTACTGCCTTTGACAAAACTGCTAATATTGTCACTGTTATCTCTCTCAATGCATCAATCAATGCAATAAAAGGATTTTTTTTTTTTGAGACAGAGCCTAAAGCTGTCACCCTAGGTAGAGTGCTGTGGCATCACAGCTCACAGCAACCTCCAACTCCTGGGCTCAAGTGATACTCCTACCTCTGCCTCCCAAGTAGCTGGGACTACAGGCACCCGCTACAACCCCCAGCCATTTTTTGGTTGCAGCTGTCATTGTTGTTTGGTGGGCCAGCCTGGGTTCGAACCCACCAGCTCAGGTGTATGTAGCTGGCACCTTAGCCGCTTGAGCCACAGGCACCGAGCCAAGGAAAGGATATTTTTAAATAGTTTTTTTTTTCTTTGAGACAGAGCCTCAAGCTGTCACCCTAGGTAGAGTGCCCATGGCCTCACAACTCACAGCAACCTCAAACTCCTGAGTTTAGGCGATTCTCTTGCCTCAGCCTCCCAAGTAGCTGGGACTACAGGCGCCTACCATAACACCCAGATATTTTTTGTTGTTGCAGTTGTCATTATTTTTAAGCTGGCCCTGGCCAGGTCCAAATGCGCCGGCCTGGGTGTATGTGGCCAGCTACTCACTGAGTTATAGGCACCACCTAAACAGGTACTTTCTAATGACTACATTATAATTTCTTACATTGTATATGATACGCCGACCATGTTCCATCAGCCCTCAATTCACACAACAGTAAAAATATTTCATTTTATTGGTAACTCACAAGTTGTTTAATAATTCATGTTTCAGTGGTGATAGCTGTAGAAATGCTAAGTTTTACATGTACAGAACATAAGCTACATGAAGACAATAATTATTTTTCTACTTTGTTACTGCTATACTCCCAGGTCCTAGAATTATATGTAGCATTTATTTAGTAGGTATTTAATAAATGCTTATGGAATGGACAAATGAGTATTATATGTGGTAAGACGTAGTTTTTTCCCTGTCACTGTATTCTTCCACAACGAAGATTCTAATCTATAGAAGTACCGTCAATCAAGAACAGATGAGGCCATAACCGTCTTAGTAAATGGTCTTCTACTACATCAGCATCACATCTTTCACTCAATCTTCATGCTGCCAGAGACATGTTCAGCGGGCCAGTTAATCATTAAACATTTCAAAGCACCAGTCTAATAACTACAAAAGAGTATATGCATCCTGCTGAGTTTAACGCATAAAATTACTTGTTATTTCTTAGATTATGTACACAAATTATTAACTATTAAAGTAAAGTTTTCAAAAGCAGATCTGTTCAGTCTGTCTGGTATGTCTAGGGAATTTTCAATACAACAAAAATTCTCACACTCACGTTCTGAATGGCCCTGATTACAAATGTTCACTTACTACTTTTTGCACTATGCACGGAACAAAAGGATGTGGTTTTTACCAGAATGGTCTCACAAACAATAGCTGACTGGATTAACTAAAATCTGAGGACCAATCTGACACAAGAATCTTATAAAGAAAAACTCTAGTTGGGGAGGGCAACTCATAGAGATTAAAAGTCTCTTTTATTGACAGGAAAATCATGTAATTCTTTTCTCAAATGAAAAATAAAAAACATGACAAATGGTGCTTGAGCTTATTTTTATAGGCCTTCTGAACATTTGTCTGCCTGAAGATAATGAGTCCACAATACAGAGGTAAAAGTTCTTTGAATACAAAAGAGGCTACAGAGTAACTGTCAAAATTTAAAAAAAGTAAACTGTCTTCATAATGTTTTCCAGGGAATTAACATTTCTAAAACATCATTCAAAGCAACAAATTTGAAATACAGACTTATGAATGTTATCCAGAACTTTTTAAAACAATATTACTTAAATATACAGTCTATAAGGAAAACATCATAATGAAGTTTAACTGCATTTCAGTTATAAGTGAGGAAAAACCCATTATACTTACTTTGTAAATAGTGCAAAACCATCAATACAAGACTATAGCTGTTTAAAGTACCACGACTGGCATCATTTATCTGATGGTGACTTGCCCACTTCTTAATCACCAGCACTAATGGACGAACTCGATTTTCAACTGAAAGTAAAATTAAAACTTAAAAATGATAACAAGATATTACAGTTTCATTAAAAGTTTACATCATTTCCCAACTCCATTCCAAAAAAGGGCATTGCCTCCCTGTACATTAAACACTGTGCTTACCATAAATATGTCTCCTTTCTGTTTTGTTTTTTTTGAGGCAGAGCCTCAACCTGTTACTCTGGGTAGAGTGCTGTAACATCACAGCTCACAGCAACCTCCAACTCCTGGGCTCAAGTGATTCTCTTGCCTCCGCCTCCCAAGTAGCTGGACCTACAGGCACCCGCCACAATGCCCGGCTATTTTTTGATTGCAGCCATCATTGTTGTTTGACAGGCCCAGGCTGGATTGGAACCCGTCAACTCAGGTGTATGTGGCTGGCAGCTTAGCTGCTTGAGCCACAGGCGCCAAGCCCATAAATATGTCTTACTTCTAAAATTTAACTTAGTTACCTTTTAAAAATTATCAGTTATTTAAATGCACTTGATTTACCTATAACTCTAGTAGTAAATTATTTTAGTGTAGCAACATAATGCAAATAAGACTCTATTATACTTAAACTAACAAGATGTCACTATTTACTACACACATCTTTAAAAAGGAAAGAAGTAAGGGGAAAAAACAGAAGCTGATAATTAATTAGAAACAAACCAAAAACTTACGGTATGCATACGTTCTGAGAAGGAATGTGTTTCTTATTCCAGCAATGTTGTTTACATTCAAGTCAAACTCCACACAACTGTTAAAAAAATAAATAAAACTTTAGCTCCTTTTCTAATCACTAAGTTAATGCCCAGATTCTAGCCAAGGATGCAAAATAGGACCAAAAGGCTATAGATCTGTTTTTATTTAATTTTTTGAAACAGAGTCTCACTCTGTTGCCTAAACTAGAGTGCCTCGGCATCAGCCTAGCTCACAGCAACCTCAAACTCCTGGGTTCTGGCGATCCTCCTGCCTCAGCCTCCTAAGGCTGGCACTACACGTGCCCACCACAACACTCAACTCATTTATCTATTTTTAGTAGAGATGGGGTCTCACTCTTGTTTAGGCTGGTCGTGAACTCCTGAGCTCAAGTGATCCTCCGACCTGGGACTTCCAGAGTGCAAGGATTACAGACGTGAGTCACCTGCACCCAGCCTAGGAAACTCTTAACATCATTTACTTGGCAGATAGTCAATAAATACTTATAGATCTGATGGATGTTTAGGTGAATGAAAAGGAAGTCTTCAGCCAGGCATTAAGGTTTATTTAATAAAAATATATTTAAAAATCACATATATAAAGTACGTATATTCAATCAATTCTCACTATTCACAATAGTTATGTTCTATGAAGTCACTCTAAACACTGAATTTGTAAGTACTGTACCACTGCTCATCGGGTAAACATAGGGTCAGGTTTCTGCTAGGCTGGTCACATCATTTTCATAAACTTATTAATAAATAATTTTGTTTAATGTGTTTCTGTTTAAAGACAATTTATTTATTTAATATATACAGTTGATTCATTAACAGTGAACTCATAGCCAAAAGCACTGTACTGATGCCTGGAAAAAAGCCTATCTAACAAACATTTTCTCCACAGAGCACATCACAAACCTTCTTACAGTTGGGGACACCACACCTATGCTTGAGAGCCACTCTAAACAGCAAAAAAAGTATACAATGTGAAAAACATGGCAATAGGCTGAGCCTACGGCTCAAGCGGCTAAGGCGCCAGCCACATACACCTGAACTGGTGGGTTCCAATCCAGCCCGGGCCCGCCAAACAATAATGATGGCTACAACCAAAAAATAGCTGGGCATTGTGGCGGGTGCCTGTAGTCCCAGCTACTTGGGAGATGGAGGTAGGAGAATTGCTTAAGCCCAGGAGTTGGAGGTTGCTGTGAGCTGTGATGCCTCAGCATTCTCTACAGAAGGCAACAGGCTGAGGCTCTGTCTCAAAAAAAAGAAAAACGTAGCAATAACTAGACACTAGACTATGAGAGAAACATTGGTTTGCAGAGTGTCACCTTATTTTATCTAGGAACATGAATTAGGCAATTCAAAATTTTTGCCACTCTATGTTATCTCTAAGAATGACCACTAAAGCATGTAAATATTGACCAGAAAGTGAGAGGGGTGGTTTACAAAAATACTCTAGCAAGTAGGCTAAATTTGTAAATATGGAATCCAAGAATAAGGATCAACTTGGTGTTTATGCATATAATTTAAGTATTACTTTTGTAAAACTAAACTTGATAAACATGATTTATCATTCATTTTTCACTAATAAAAATATCAACACCTATTTACACTTTAAATTCAGATATTATATGAAAAGATTCTTTTTTATATGAAAAGATTATAATACTAGTGCTCATAAAAATTCAGAACCCAACCCAGTTTAAATAAATGAATATAAATCTTTAAGTGGAACAAATATATCTTGCTTTTTCTTTTATATTTATTACCCTGGGTATTATATGTACAATTCATTATATGAAATATAACTTGTTTAATCATAGTTGCATTTACAACAGACCTTAAACTACATTCTTGAGCACTGCACTTCCAAAAGGCAAGAAATCATTTAAAAATCTAACATCTAAACATGTATATAAACTGAATTGTCTTGAATAATCAGAATGTCAAGCAGAATACGTAGGGTTAAGCATATGAAAGAACTGTTCAGACTATTTTTAAAAATTATTTGAAATACTAAGTCAAGTGATTTCTAAAAACTGAAGAAGATAAGCTACTTGCTATAACATGTATTTCTTGATTTTAGATGAATATCTAAAAATGATCTAAAGCAACTGAAAAAAGAAAATTCAGTAATTACTGACCTGACTTTATCCCTGAACTTCACAATTGGCACTTTTGCTCTAATCAGTTGAGGTCTCTCAATGTAGCCAGCTAAAAGATAAAAGATAATGTAAATACATGCAAATGTTTCCCAAATTTACAGCGTTCCAATCCATTGTTTTAAAAATAGTACTTTGCTAAGCTAAAACCATTTAAGAAAATGTTGTCTTTGAGAAATAAAACAAATAAGTGAGGACATTATTATTAAATTCTTTTAAGACTGGAGGGTCCAATAACACCGTTCTTCTAAGATTGGAGGGTCCAGTAATACCTTAGCCTGCCATGTGGAGGTTTTATATTATTTTCAGGAATGTGGTCTAATACATACTATCTATAAAGAAGTTCATCAGACCTTTATAAGAGTGAAAAAATAACTAGGCTACTGGCAGAGGAATAGCTAGAGTCTGAAGATAGCACAGAGTAAGATACTGTGGTAACCTCAGAAAGCATATTTACTGAGGCTTAAATATGGAAATGCTTTGCAACATGATACTCGGGCTGGGACACAGTCACTGAAGTATGACCTCTATGAGGTAAAAATACATATATACATATTTTCTACTGTATAAAACTTATAGAAAAAATTTGAGTTTAGATTAATGTTTATTGTAGGCAAAAGAAGGAAAATACAGAAATGTATTTAAAAAAATCACAAAATGAGCAACTTTTAAATTTTGTGACTACAGAATAAAATAGTACCAGATTCTTTTTAAAACCTCAAAATTTTGTTATGTTTTTACTACCAAAATTATAAAATACATCTAGCTTCAAAATAAAATTTATGTGTAGGAATTCAGTGAAGCGTAATGAAAAACAAGATCAGAGTTAAAAGTTATGAGTAACAATACACCAACAAACTATGCTCCAAGCATGTTACCGAATCCACTCATCAGTCTCTTCAACTATTAAAAACAATAACCAAAAGGGAAAAAACTCTTCTTTTAAATTAGATAATCTCTAAGGTCTCATCTACTTTAACATTTTATGATTCTAATAACAGCTATTACAAAACCACTTAACGTATGAATTACTATTTTTATTTTACAGACGCAAAATTTTAAGTCCACTGAAACAAGTCCCTTGGTTTATTTCTCTCCCACAATAAATATCAGGTTTTCAAGGGCAGTAAGTTGCTACTTGACTTTCTATTTTCCAGCTCAAAGCCTGGCAAATAATAAGTTATCTGTTATAATAAATGAATAAATGTACAAAATGTCTTTCCAATATCACATAGTTAGTATGACTTCAACTTTCTCCAAGACTCTGTAAAAATTTAAAATGTTATTATTTGAGATGGAATAACAGATTAAAATCTGTTTAGAATCAGTTTATTCAAAGAGTAAAATCTTACAATAAAATGGCATAAGTCAACAATTTTTTGTAGTTAAGACATTTGGGCCTCATGTTCAGTGATAATATTTTAAAGCAAGTAAAGATACACTTCATAGCAAAATAGATTCTCTCTCCCTCACATCAAGTCCTACAGGACATTACCTGTAACACTCTTTAGGTTTTTCACAGATATTTTGCATTACGTCTATTTATATTCATGCTTTAATTTTCCCAAGAGTCTATACCCTTTTGAGAAAAAGAAAAACTTACATAGTTTTGAATCCCCCAATGCATTCAGTGGGATATTTTGCAAGGAAGCTCTATAAAGATATATTGAATGGTTACTTCTTTTTAATCAAAACTTAAAAGGAATTCATTTGAAAAAAAGGATCTACATGATACCTATCCTGACAAGAATAAACAATTCTTACCAGAAAATAAAGTGAGGGACATTTTAAATCAATAGTTATGTCAGATGACATATGAACGTGAAGGCATGTCACACTTACAAAGTCTAGTACAGAAGTGTTTATGGAGTAAGGTGAGTATATGCCGTGCTTCAGTCTTCTGATTTACCTGAAAAAAACACTGAAAAGTTAAAAATAAAGTGTTTTTTCATTATCTTTCTAAGCTTTGCATTTCATTTTCTTAAAGTATTGCAAGAAAAAGAAAACATACAAGGTTTATCTTGTGGAGAGTTATTTTTCAACATACGTTAAATTACATTATTCAAAAAGTCAACTTCCAATGCTGCCTTTCATATCTACAGTCTCAAGCTATTGCCCTGGGTAAAGTGCCTTGGCATCATAGCTCCAACTCCAACAGCAACTTCCAACTCAGGCTCAAGAGTTCCTCTTGCCTCGGTTTTCTATTTTTAGTATAAATGGGTTCTTGCTTTTGCTCAGACTAGTCTTGAACTCATGAGCTCAAGCAATCCACCCACCTTGGCCTCCCAGAGTGCTAGGATTATAGCACCTATACCTGATTTTAAATTTCAAACATAATTTTTTAAGAAATTCAGAAACAGGCGGCGCCTGTAGCTCAGTGGGTAGGGCACCGGCCACATACACCGAGGCTGGTGGATTTGAACCTGGCCTGGGGCAACTAAACAACAATAACAACTGCCAACAAAAAACTAGCCAGGCATTGTGGTAGGAGCCTATACTCCCAGCTACTTGGGAGGCTGAGGCAAGAGAATTGCTTGAGCCCAAGAGTTTGAAATTGCTATGAGCTGTGACACCACAGCACTCTACCCACGGCAACAGCTTGAGACTCTGTCTCAATAAAAAAAAAAAAAGAAAGAAAGAAAAGAAATACAGAAACAAGTCTATGACAACCAATAATAAAAATATAATAATATATTGGCAGCACCTGTTGCTCAGTAGGTAGGGTGCCAGCCATATACCAAGGCTGGTTGGGTTTGAACCTGGCCTGGGCCAGCTAAAAACAATAATGACAACTACAACAAAAAAATAGCCAGGTATTGTGGCAGGTGCCTGTAGTCCCAGCTACTTGGGAGGCTGAGGCAAGAGAATTGCTTAAGCCCAAGACTTTGAGGTTGCTGTGAGCTATGACACCACAGCACTCTACTCAGGGCAACAGCTTGAGACTCTGTCTCAAAAAAAAAAAAAAATATATATATATATAGAGAGAGAGAGAGAATAAAACATTAAAAAAATTCTGAAATAGCTATATACGTCATTTGTTTCCTTCAGTATAAAAAGCAATCTTCAACAAAAATAAAAAGAATTTTAATACTCTGTTTTACCTCTCTATACAGATGATAAGCTCCTTAAAGACAGGTTTATATCTAAACTGTCTCAATTTTAGTATAAGCTATGACAACAATTTAGACATGTGAATAAAACTGGAGGACTGAGGTAATGTGCCTGAGTATAATCCAATTGTACAAAAAACTGTTAATACTCGTATCTATTCTATCAGAGTGGACGAATGTATTCTCTACCCTGTTGGTAATTTTAGAGTTTTTTTAAAACTTTTCCTTTACATGATTTCAAAGCCTAGATAAATGCCAGAGCTTCTTTCCTAAAATAAGTTTTCTTCTGATTTGCAGTAACTAGACGTCATTTTTGTTAGTGGAATAATATGAATAATAAATATATACACTATAATCCAAATGAATGTTCTGCATTTTTGAAGACGTGAAACACACATATCAAAATTACATTCCATTTAATCTTTGGTAGTTCAGAAGAGATCTCAGTATCTTACGGAGGCTGCTTCAGTCAGCACAATAAACACCAATTATTGTGGTATTAACGTGTACACAAGGCTATCAGTTAACAGGAAACTCAAATAAATCTAATAAAAATTGAGCATCCCTAATCCAACAATCTGAAATGTTCAGAAATGCAAAATGCTCCAAAATCTGAAATTTTTTGAATGCTGACATCATGCTCAAAGAAAATGCTCACTGGAGCATTTTCAAATTTCAGATTAGGGATGCTCAACAGGTATAATGCAAATATCTCAAAATCTGAATTTCAAAACACTTCCAGGCCCAAGCATTTCAGATAAGGAATATTTAACCTACACTAAATAACACAATTTGGTTGCCAAAGAAAAAAATAAAGTCAAAATGCCAGAGGATAATATACTAAATGTAATGAATCAGAATAATCTTATTTTAAGTGTCAGTAACATCTTTTTGTTTCTCCCAAGACTACCAAGCCCTGTAACATTTTCAAGAAGAAGAAAAAAAGATTAAAACCAGAATTGCTAAGAATTCAAATGGAAAGGAAATACATCAAGAAGATAATACTGCCACACGCTCCTCTGCTCCTCTTCTCCACTGCAGACTCTTAACACAGCCAACAAAACCGAGGCAGAGCTCCTTACAAGCACATAGTGAAGCCATCTCACTTTAAAAACTTAGAACTGATAGTTCCTATTATGCTTATTTTGCACACGACTTAAAAGAAAGGGAAGCACTTCCTGGGTTACAGTAATGAGAAAATCCAAAGAAGTAATTACAGCAATCCTACTTCTTTTCCTCATTGACTTTTTTTTTTTTGAGACAGAGTTTCATGCTGTCCCCTTGGGTAGAGTGCTGTATGCTGTAGTGTCCACACCTCACGGCAACCTCAACTCTTTGGGCTCAAGCTATCCTCTTGCCTTAGTTTTTCTATTTTAAGTAGAGACAGGGTCTCGCTTTTGTTCAAGCTATCCACCCGCCTCAGCCTCCCAAAGTGCTAGGATTATAAGCCTGAGCCCCAGTGCCCAGCCCTCAATGACTTTTTTTTTTTTTAAGAGACAAAATCTCACTTCATCACCCTTGGTAAAGTGCTATGGCGTCACAGCTCACAGCAACCTCCAACTCCTGAGCTTAGGCGATTCTCTTGCCTCAGCCTCAAGAGTAACTGGGACTTCAGGCACCTGCCACAACCCCTCAGCTATTTTTTGGTTGCAGTTTGGCTGGGGCCAGGTTTGAACTACCTTCAGTATATAGGGCTGGCGCCCTACTCTCTGAGCCTTAGGTGCTGCCCCCTCAATGATTTTTATATAAAACTGCTTAACTGAGTTAACATGAGAAATACTTGGAATAAGTATTTCCTTACTTACTGGTTCTTCCTTAACAACAAGGCATAAATCACCATCACTGCTCCGGGTACCAAATCCATTTAAAGAGGATCCAACCAAAAAAAGCCTGCTTTCTGAGAAACAGAAAAAATTTATGTAAGATTATTCAAAATATAAAATAAGAATACATATAAAGAACATGCACAATAGAGAAACTTACGTGGAAATAACAGCTGAATTTCTCTTTGTAGCTGTGTTCGACAGAGTTCTTTCTTCTTTAAATCACTTATTTGCTGCTGACATGTTTCAAATAACTCCAGTATCTGCTGACTCAGCTTGAATCCACCCCAAAAAAGAGTAAAAGTTTCATTCAGACATGTTCAAGGAATTACCACACTGAAAAGACTAAATCAATTCTACCAAAAATATTTTTAAAACAAATAATGATTATCTTTTTACCACTTTTCAGTACAAAACTACTGTTACTCATGTACAGGTCAGGGAACAGCTTGAAAAACTATGTATAAATTTTACAAAGTAAAATATCATTTACACACCTAGAAAAGTACAGTCACATAAAACCCATAACGAACATAATCCACAGGTCAACAAACTACAACTCTTGGTTATTGTTTTTGTATGGCCCATGAGCAAAGAACATTTTTTCTATCTTCAAAGAATTATAAAACCAAATATACAAATAAGAAATTGCAACAGAAACTACATGTAAGAGACAAAGCCTAAAATATTTACTGTCTGGCCCTTTGAAGAAGTTTGCCCAACCCCACGTATTCCCACACCCAGAAATACCAAATAAAACAGACTTCCCAAGTCCCTGGTCTTTGATATCCATGGGAACCATCCTCCTCTCCCTTCTTTTACACTGCCCTGAACCCTGACTTCACCTTGCCATCTACTGACCCCCTGCTTATCTACTGGTTCACACTTTCCCCTACAGCCCAACTCCTGACATCATTCACCATAGGTGACGTCCTTCTCTGTAATGAGCAACATATCACAACATAGTAGCTTCTGGATGCTTTTTACTCCAACATTTTTCACCAATGTACACTTCTATAGCTTTCATGTGGGCTTTGCAATAAACCGTAACTGTTCTATCTCTGAAATTTTAAATTCCAATGTACTACCTTGGCTTCAATTTTCCATACAATTCTCACTTTTTTTTTTTTTTTTGAGACAGAGCCTCAAGCTGTCCCCCTGAGTGCCGTGGCATCACAGCTCATAGCAACCTCCAACTCCTGGGCTCAAGCGAGTCTCCTGCCTCAGCCTCCCAAGTAGTTGGGAATACAGGCGCCCGCCCGCCACAATGTCTGGCTATTTTTTGGTTGCAGCTGTCATTGTTGTTTGGCAGGCCCAGGCTGGATTTGAACCCACCACCTTAGGTGTATGTGGCTGGCGTCTTAGCCACTTGAGCCACAGGCGCCAAGCCCAACTCTCACTTTCTTATCCCCTTACCCTCATCCCCTTATACCGCAAGAGATCTAGATTCCCTTGAATCTTCCCTTTTCTCCCAACCATCAGTACCTAAACGGTGTGATTTCCTTCCCTATGCAGTCTTTCCCCCACAAAACATCCCCTGAACCATTTTTATCACATCTTAGCAACAATATCCCCCTGTCATGTTCTAATACCTGTCCTGCAAAATCTTCATCTTAGGTCAATACGAAAACCACCTTCTGTGCTCTCACATCTAATCTACTAAGAGATAAACCTGAAAAAAAAACAAACCATAAAACTGGAGTCTTTCTTGTAGTCTAAGATCAGTCTAAGGTAGGCCCCTAGCATCACCCAGCAATTATTTCCAAGCCTCTCATTACACAGGGCTCACGTTTTTCACCATCTTCAAAATCTATACTATCTTCCTCAAACCCTCTAAACTTATCTATCTCATTTTCTCTAGCAGATTAAGCTCATATTAAAGTTTAGAAAGAAAACTGAAAATACCAGATAAATGTATGTGATATTCCTCAGCCTCCCAAAGACAAATTAACATATCTGAATGAAATTTTACCTTTTTTTTTTACAAAATAGAATCTCACTTTGTCAACCCCTAAAGAGTACCATGCCATCATAGCTCACAGCAACTTCCAACCCTTGGGCTCAAGTGATTCGCTTGCCACAGCCTCCCAAGTAGCTGGGACTACAAGCACCTGCCACAACCCCTGGTTATTTTTAGAGATGTAGTCTCACACTTGCTCAGGCTTGTCTGGAACCTGTGAGCTCAGGCAATCCACCCATTTCAGCCTCCCAGAGTGCTGGGATTATAGGCGTGAGCCACTGTGCCCAGCTGAAATTTTATCTCTTTACTTCTGTCAGACAAACTATCCTCTTCCCTTGTATAAACCTAATTAATCCCTCTATTACTAATTAGTGTCCAAGTTGTTTGGCCCCCTTAAGGGTACAAACATCTCCATCAGTTTTTTAGTTTCATTCTTGCGTTTTCAATCTCTCCCTCTCTGAGACTTCCACATAGTCCATGACCAGGCAAAAGTATCACCCATTAAAAAAAAAAAAAGGCCAGGCATGGTGGCTAACACCTGTAATCCTAGCACTCTGAGACGCTGAGGCAGGTGGATTGCTCAACCTCAGAAGTTCAAGACCAGGCTGAGAGTGAAACCTTGTCTCTACTAAAAAGAGAAAGATCAGCAGATGTGGTGCCACACACCTGTAGTCCCAGATACAAGGGAGGCTGAGGCAAGAAGGATCACTTGAGAGCAGGAGTTTGAGGTTGCCACGAGCTATGACACTATGGCACTCTAACCAGGGCAAGAGAGTAAGAGTCTATCTCCAAAAAAAAAGAAAAGAGGATTTTTATCACTCATCATTTTAAACATTTTCTTTTATCATCTTTAAAATACTTATTTTAAGAAGCCAGAGGCATTCAAGGAAATTCGGAAATGAAAGACATAATTTTTTAATATCCCTAGGTCCAAGCCCCACAAATCAAAAGTGCAACTAGGAGAATAAATCAAAACAGATCAAACCAAACCAAAACATGGCCAACAAATACATGATTAAATGACTCAGTATCCTTTGTGAACCCCAAATATTAAGGCCAAATACTAATGGCAGCAAGCCCACATCATATAAAACTATAAGGGAAAGAAATTTTAGACTGTCCTAAAACCAGACACCCAGAAATCAAATTGTGTGCAAGTACTATCTTCTTCCCTAATCCCCCAAACCAAAGGGCCAAACTAGATGTGGAAGAACAGCTTCTCAGGGTACAACTCATAGGTAAATGCAAGGGATCACAGAAAGTTAAGAAATCTCAAAGCTAAATGACAAATACAAAGGACACACCAAGCAGAAACTGCCAGGAAGAAAACTCCAACTAGGCAATACAGGGCCACTAGGGGCAAAGGAAAGTTCTAGAATGACTCAGATTTCCAAGGAACATACGCAAGGTCTGGAAACATTTTTGGCTAGGGCAGAGGGGAATTCCATTGGCATCTAGTAGGTAGAGGGCCAGGGATGATCCCACTGAACGTCCTACACTGCACGAACTCCCCACAGCAAAGATTATCTGGCACAAAATACCAATAACACAGAAGATTTAAAAAAAAAAAAAATCCTGGTCAAGATAAAAATAGGAAAATAGAAGAAAAAAGGTTCTCTCAAAGTACATTCCTGAATACCACATACCATAACAAGAGAAGGGGTCCTAGAGCCACAAAGCTAGGAAAGCTAGCCTGTCCAATCCTCTCCATCTGAAAGTAGTATAGAAAAAGCCATTTCACTTAGTCATAAATAACAGTAAAAAAATTTTTTTTTGAATCTCAGAGAGGTAAGAATAGAGAGAAAAAAAAAAATTTGGAGAAATAATGCCTGAAAAAGATTCTAATCAATTCCCTACAGATAATGAAGCATAACAGAAAGGCATCTCCAGAAAACTGTTGAAATTTTTAACATAAAATAAAAAACAAGATCTTGTCTCTCTCTCATGCTTTAATTTTCTTCTTCTTCTTCTTTTTTTTTTTTTTGAGACAGTCTCATGTTGTCACCCTTGGTAGAGTACTGTGGCATCATAGCTCACATGAATCTCAAATTCATGGGCTCAAGTGATATCTTCTTTTTCATTTTTTTAGTAGAGATGGGGGGGTCTCACTCTTGCTCAGGCTGGTCTCAAACTCCTGAGCTCAGGCAATCCACCCACCTTAGCCTCCCAGGGTACTGGGATTATGGATGTGAGCCACCACACCCAGCCCTCTTTTAATTTTCTAAAACAAGTTTTTAAAATTTAAGCATGCATACTAGTAAGAAGCAAGTAGAAATTTACTTTTTAAAAAATTCATTACAGGCTTGACGCCTGTGGCTCAAGTGGCTAAGGCGCCAGCCACATACACCTAAGGTGGCAGGTTTGAATCCAGCCCGGGCCCACCAAACAGCAATGACGGCTGCAACCAAAAAATATCTGGGCGTTGTGGCAGGTGCCTGTGGTCCCAGCTACTTGGG